TCTTAGAATCAAATTTACTTCTAAGGGATGGAAGGAAACAGAAAAATAAGTGCACCTTGGAGCCCATGTAAATGTATTTTCCTTAAGTAAAAAAGAAAATTCATCAATATAGTTCAATAGGTAACTGATGAAATTGTTTTTTTGTCTAGGAGGAACTTCATAATTTATGATTATTCAGGAGCAGGGCTGGTATTTCATTGCATTTTAAAAAAATCAACCATACAGATTGTAGGGTCACAGAAGTAAGACAGACTAAGTCTACTAGAGCATGTTTTACTTCTATTATTATTCTAATAATTGTAATTATGACCTGTATTGCAGTAAGAACCTGGAATGATGGCAGAAACACAGAATACTTTCTTCCTAGATTAAAATTAAAGAAAATGTACTTTCTAGGTAGTGCACCTCTGCAACACACATAGAAAACTTTAAAAATAGTTACACAAGGCTCAGCCTGGTCTGAGCCATCCCCATTTCCTTTCCTTGAGCACATCTGTCTCCAGTGTCAGGTTACCATTCAGTGCACATTCCTTCTGCTTGCTGACTACCATTTTCTTCCGGAGCACTGTCTCCCCCCAGGCAGGAAAGCCAGTGAGCACTAATAGGCAGGGAAGTGGATTTTTTTTTTCCACCACAAAAAAACATACAATGGCAAACAGAAGGAATAGAGTTTTGTTTCTGGGTAGGTTTTCATTTCCATGCACAGATAAAAATCAGGACAGAGTGCATAATTTTCTCCCAAAATCATAATTTTTGAGCTAATGAGTTTTACCCAGAAAAAGTAGTCTTCATGATTACAGTCAACGAAGAAGGCAAACATTGTATTTGGCATCTGGTGCTGTACCCTGGGCTGAAGAAAAAACATCCTTTATATTCATGGTAGGCAAATAGACCCTATAAAACCATGAGATAATAATCCCAGTGAAATTTGTGGTAAAAAAAAAATCACAAACACCTAAACAACGTTTCAAAATTTTTCCCTGTGAGCATTTCTTGGCCAGCTTCTCGCTTTCAAGCGGTTACTCACATGATCTTTCTGCATTTTTAAAATTTTGTTTGTTGCACAGCCCACTTACCATCTTGCAATGTAATAGAAAGGAGCAAGGAAAAGCTGAGAACTTTCCCTAGTGACACTTGCAATTTGACTCGAAGATATGCTTCACAAAATTCTTTTGACCTGTAAACATGTTTAACCCAGATCTTGTCTGGTCAGTGAAATAATTCCTCTGGATCAGCAGGACGGATTAATTTGTGGAAAACCAAGTTAGAAAATCTGACTAGAAACTCTGGTATTGTATCTTATCTGACAGCTTCAAGTCAAAATAAACAAGAATTTTCGCTCATTATCAGTTACTATCACTGCTGAGCATTCAGCATGGTTTCTTATGAAACAGTGGAGATCCACAATGATCCATGCATTTTTACAGGCTTCTAGGAGGGGAAGAGCTATTGTCCAAGGGGTATCTGAGATACCATGATTGAAAACAGTATTGCCATATATAGCAATTAATTCCTGCACTTTAGAAGCATCACTTAACATTTTATACTGATAGCATTTGAAAGCTGTTTTTAAATATTAATGATAAACACTAGAGTTTATAATAATGTGCTGGCCTTCAAACTAAAAGCAGTATTCAATTTCTGACTAGCAGAGAAATAGGGAATGCTAATCTCTTACTCCATACTAGGAGGTGCCCAGTTATCTTTCTCTCCTGTTGCAATCATCCAAGCTTATTCTATTTCTTAATACTGTGTATTTTACTGCTTCCTCACATTATTTCATCTTTTGTTCTTCCAGTGACTTGCTCTTTCATTTATTGAGGTAATTTTTATTCTTCTATATGTGACAAAATGATTTGATATTCCCTCAGCCACTTTTCCCTTATTTCTTCCAATCTTTTTATTAGAAACCATGTTTTCAACACTTTTTCCCAAATAAGACTGTAGCAGCCACTCTACTGAAAGTGCCACCCAGAAGAATTCATAACCAGTGAAGTGATACAGTACTTACAGAAATGTGTTAAGCAAAGGATAAGGTCGTGTGTTACTTGAAGTTAATGTTTGAAATTCAGGAAAGGCAATCTCTATTCAACACTTCCAAAATTGTTTCTGCAATATGCTAACTATTTTTTTCACTTTCTGGATGTAAACAGATAATCTGACTATTTGATCCTATCAAGGAGGAAATAGGGAAGAGAATGTCTGTTGGAGAAGGAGCAATGATATAGGTAATAAATGCTGAAATTGTCATTCCTTCATTATGTTCCTTCCAGATTATAAGAGAAGGAAAGCTTTTGATTCAAATAACCAATTCTTCTAGCTCCTGAAGCATTATCTACAGACTTCCAGCTTTCCTACGCACTTTGCATTCCCTCTCCTCTTAAGCCAGCACAAAACCCATCAGCAAACACTGTGAAAAAGGCAGAGCTATTACATCACTGCATTCTACCTACCAGGTTGGTATTTGCCTAATTTCAAGTAGCACTATGCCACATGAAAGTAAGTACCTGAGGGAAAGCTGCTTGCAAAAGAACTACAAACTCTAGAGGGGGGCTGTATTACATTTTAGAAATTTTTTTTTAAGTGGGGAGCATAAAATTATTACTGTATCTTACATGAAAATTATAATAACTCTGTGATGGTCATGTTAGAGTGACTTGGATTTTATTAGTCAAATAAACATTTGTCAACTTTGAGTTTGTAAACAGAGTTAACAGTGGAATTAACAGATTTTAGTACACAAAACTGGAAAAAACCCCAATAAATATTGCACTTAATGATTGCATCCTATGCAAGTCCCCTAAATTTAATGTCACCTCAGAAACAGAACGTCTGTAAACTTCACCACATTCAGGTGCAGAAGAGGCCTGGATAGCCCGAGGGATTGGTGATGGTCTATGCATTCTTTCTGCCTTTTAGCTTTTTGCAGAGTCCCTATCACTTTGAAGTCTATACTGCTTCCCACCTTAAGGTTATGAGCCTGAACCTCACCTGCTGAATGAAAGTGATGGTCATTTGCAGGGCTGTATGAATGAGGTGGCCAGTGTGTTCTCATTCATGGTGAGCAAGAGAACACACCCCTAAACCTGTCCTAGTGGAGACAGAATGACATTTGGGATGTTGAGGATGTAATCCTGGCTCTGTTACAAACCCCTTGAGTGATCTGGGCACAGCACTCCTCTCCTACTCCACCACATTTGTACTGGAATTTATAACCCCTTTAAGAAAATTCTGTCACTGCCACCACGGGACTCCGATTTCAGCTGAGCTAGTAGCAATAATATTTTTTAAAAGTTCACTTTAAAGACTAGAAATCACAAAGAGAAAACTTAATGACCACCAAGCTGTAAAGAACACTGGAATGTGTCTCCTGGTCATAACAGACAAATCTGATCAATAGCAGAGGATTTTCCTTTTGTTTTCCTGTTTTGTCTGAGACACCTCCCTCAGCAGTCTTTTAAAACAACATATAGTAACTATTTCCTCCATGTATCTAAGCTGTAATTTGTCTTTTAATTGATATGGGCATACTCTACCTAGACAAATTAGGTAACCAAGTAATGATGTATAACTCTGTGAGGAGGGAGTAGCGTGCACTATTGAGTTAAATAGGTTTTTAAACAAAATGGGAAAGCCCTTGTTAAGGGAAAGTAGTACAGGGGTGACTGAACTAAAACAAACAAACAAACAAACAAAAAAAAAAAAAACAAAAAACCCCCAACAAAACACAAATATATTCCACTTTTTTAGGAAATAGGCAAATAACAACTTTATCCAATTTTCAAAAACAGTTACCTAGCAATAATAGTAGTGCTTAGCTTATATAGAAATGTACTCTTTGCTGCATGTTTTAGAACAGAAATTTTTCCCAGAAAGGAACAAATTTTAATTTTTTTTCCAAATAACTAGGTGCTATCTCATCACAAGAAATCAGCAGGTTGGAAAAAACAAAAGGACGAGTGGAATTTCAACTGATGCCAGTAATTCACTGGATTTCAAAGCCATCAGTGCTGCTCCCAAATTCCACAGGTTTTGCCTTTTTTCTCTTCAGGTTTGGGTATCTGCACCAGTTGGTTTCAGTGGTTTGTTAAAGCGAGCTCTCGTCATAATCAAGTGTAAATATAATGCAATGTACAGGTGGGCTATGCAAATGAATGTCCCATCCAAAACTGCTGCCCTCAAACCGGCACTGCTGGAACAGATATATCTATTTTACCCTACACGGTAAAAAACAAAACAAAACAAAACAAAACAAAACAAAACAACCTCACAAATTAATTCCTGAATATTCTGATCCTTGAAAAATAGTTGACGGTACAAAAGACACCCATTAGCCTTAAGCACTGCCAGTTTCACTTTGAATGGCCACAGCTTCGCAGGTAGTTTGGAGAAGAGAGAAAGCATTTGAGCTGGGACAAGGGCCATGCTTGGGGGGCTTCCCTGCCCCCGCTTTCGGGGAGGGGGAACAAAGGTCGGGGGGGCACTTCCTGCCCTGCCATTGGTGTCTGCATGTGGGACCAATATGGGCAATGCAAACTTTAAACAGTTGCAAATGGGGGAGGGAACATCGGGGCTTGTTTTACATATGTTTTTTTCCTGGCCGGGTTGAATTTAAAGTGGAGCGGCCGCATTGTTCGAGAGGCTCCTTGCCCCTACGCATTGACAGGAGCTGCTGTTTACACGGGCTTTTCATTCCTGCGCTGTTTGCTTATGGAAAATAAGGGGGAGTGACAGAAAAAGAGAGAAAGGGAGAAGGGAAGAGAGCGGGGCCCGGATCGCAGCGCAGCCCAGGAGCCTTGGTCCTGCCTGACCATTAACCCCGCCGCCCGCGGAGGCGGCTGGCCCAGGCTGCCCGGCCTGGCCCTGGCATGTGAGCGGCGCGGGCTGCGGGCACCGCCGGCCCCTCACGGCCCCTCACGGCCCCGCGGGCGGCTGTGCGTGCAGCCGGCACACACACACACACACACACACACCCAGAGCGCGCCTCCGCCTTGACTGCAGACATGAGGCTCCAGCTGCTGCTTTGGATCGTGGCCGTGCTCCTGGCGAGTCTCCTCCCAGCCGACGGACAGCGGCCAGGTAGGCGATGCCTCAGCGTGATGCTTGTGCCGGGGCGGGAGCCGCGGGTTCGTGCCGGCCATGGGCACCTCTGGCGTGTTCGTCCGACCGCGTCCAACACGCGGTGTGTGACCTCCGGGACGAGTTTGGACTTGGCGCATCCGTCTGTGCGCTTCATCCCTACTTCTAGCGGCAGCGGGAGAGGATGCTTCGCCTATCCCAGGAGTCTGGCAACTTTGGGGGAGGCGGGGGGTTGGTGGAGGGAGAGGAACAGGGATAAATAGGGACCCAAGGTGGGCAACTATTGCAGACTTGCTACCGGGAAGCACCGGCGGCACGGGAGGGCGCGGCCACGGGCACCCGGGAGCACGGACCGGGGAGACGCACTACCGGCGGTCCCTCTCACGCCTCGCTTCCCTCCCTCCCTCTCTCTGTCCGCAGCCAACCTGGCGCTGCGCAGGAAGCTCCACCGGCACGGCTGCTCGCACCGGCGCTGCATGCCGCTCCACTCCAGGGTGCCCTTCCCCTGAGCGGCCAGGTAAACCCGCGCGCGTGGGGTCGCAGCGAGCACCTCTGGCAATGCGCTCCTGCCTCTGGAGCAGGGCGCGAGGCATGGCTGCGCCCGGGCTCCCCTGGTTTGGTTGGGAAACGGGGCTCTGGAGCTGCGCACGGCGGGGCGGTCGCTGTCCCGGGGCTGGGGCGCGGGTCCAGCCGGACGCTGCAGCTTTCTCCCCCTTCCAGGCCACCCCGCCTGCCAAATGCCTTCTTGAGGCAGTGAAAAACAACTGAGCCCGCCGATCTGGCCGAACCCTGCCCTCCGAGGCTGTTGGCAAAGCTGCGGGGCAAAGTGTAGCTAGTGCAAAGGCTGGGTAAAGTGGCGCTTGCAGAGGATGCTCCGGGGCTGCAAGCGCTGACACTTTCCCCGTGCTGGATGCAGGGCGAAGCCACCTGACTCTGCCCGTCAGTAACATGAAGGTAGCAGCAGTCAACCCACTTCAAAGGGGACTGTAATTCTTAATCACTGTCAGCAAAAGACCTTCAGCTCCTTGGATGAAAGGCTATACAAGTGCAAAACATTAATGCTTTATAGCTGATGAGGGCAGATACATTCAAACACTAAGTGACCGCAGAAGCACACAGGTAGCATATGCTAATAGGGCAGGCATCAAAAGGAAACCAGGCTCTCTTTGCAATTTAAGAATGAATAAAACATGCAGTCAGTAGTTTTGCATCTTTGAAACTCATTATATATTAAAATAATGTTGTAGCCCCAGGCATGTCAGCATCTTAAATAAATGGTGGCTGAATCTGCACTCTGGAGCCAAGATGTTTCGATTTACTAAGCGGTTAACAGTGAAAAGGAGTCTAAAATAAAACTTTTTAACAACGCTATACCAAGCATCTTGTCAATGCATAAACTGCCTTGGTGAAAGGAACCTACACCACTCCCAAAACAGCCATGCAAAAGGGTACCGTTCCACTCTATAGTGCTGGCCCATAAACACGTGGAATGTGCATATGGGATGGCAAACTGCAAGTTTGTGAGGTTGAAAAAAAGATTGCCGTATCTTAAAGTGAATCTCAGATGGGCTGCATACTGAGTGGCAGAATTGAGATGCAAGTAGAAAGGACATGCCAGAAGGATACTTTACTACTGAATGCCATGTCTTCTCACTGCTACATTTAAACAAGAGACAGATTAAATGATACTCTATCACCAGTTTAAGCTTAAACCTAAAAAGATCAACAATTGGATCGATTCACTCAGCAGGCAGAGCCTGAATCGACAGAGGAATTTAGACCCAGTGGCTTCGTGAATCAATTGTGAATTATTTGTTTCAGTTCCTAAGAAGAGAACATTTAACGCCCCTTCCCCTTTCCTTCCATTCAGCATCCATGTGTAGAAAGCACCTACACTTGCTCTAATGTGCTCTGAAGCCTCATATAATAGATGCATTTTGCTTGAGACTGCATATACCCCCCCATATTCTGTGGGGAATTCCTTTCCTCACAGAATATGAAAATAAAAGGTACTTTCAGGGTTACCGCCTTTTCTTTGGGGAGCTGATTTCTTGTAACAAAAGTCAACGACCACACAAAACAGTGTACTTACTAATTCTCAGTAAATTTTGTAGACATGTAGCTAAAGATCCTTCTGCTTTATAAAACTGTTTAGAACTCAGTAAACCTCTACCAGGGCGTAAAGGGAGACAGGCACCTGAACTAACTCTCTTAACTTCAGTCATTGTGGGTGCTATCCTTTATCTTAAGTAGGATTTACCACCTACGTTTACATTCTCTTCCAGTTTTAGTCCAAATTCGGCAAATATTTACATGCCTGGGTTGCTTGACTCACATGAGTAATCTTATTGATCTCAGTGGAGTTGTACATATGGATAGAGCCATTTTCAGATGCAAACAGGATGCACCCTTAAGCCTGAATTTCAACTAGTGGTTGGAAACTAAAATGAGCATAGCAGCTTCTTGCAGCATTTGAAATGAGATTGAATTTGATTTTTCATTAGTTCCATACACAAAACACAGGACAAAAAAAAAAGGCAGAAAGTTTTATATTAGCAGCCTTCTTGCTTTTGTCTTTTTTTCCTCCAACTTTGTACTTGAAATTTCCAAATTAAAAAAATATTATTCCAAATGCATAATAAATAATAATAGTCTGTTAATAAATAATAGATTCTGTTTTGTATGAGACTTATTTAGACTACTAAATCCCCCATTAATATTTCTCTCCCTTTCTTCTTTTTTCCCCCCAGCAACTTCATTCTGGACTTTCCAGTGTTTTAAAGGAGCAACAGTTAAACCGATAAGAGAAGTTTGTGGGAAGTCCAGATCAACAACAGCTGACCTGAGAGCCACCACAGTGCCACCTTCAGCAGTCCTGTCTGTCACATTCTACTGGGCCTGGACTTGGCCCCTGTCTCACACCCTAAGAAGTGGTGGGGGCTGAAGTGGTGATGGGGGACCTACATGAACTTACCTGGTGGGATCATTCCCTGTAAATTATTTGGCTCTCACAATGACTAGTGAAAGTTAAAGATCAAATCAACCATCAGGTAGATTTTGATCTGGGCTAGATTTCCAGCAGCAGTAAGAAGGAAGGATCTGACCAAGGACACTCTTGGTGGTATATAATATTCAGACTGAGTGAAATTGAAAGTGCTGTTGACTACTCAGTTCAGGCTGTGTTTAGGATGAAATAGTATCAGACTCCAATATGGAATTCTGAAAGTCCATTTTTTGTTTATACTTTTATATATTAATAATATATACATATATGTTTTAACATCTAACATTACATCTTTATGGAATTACCTTAATAAAAACATAGAATGCATTACTCTAATAGCACCAAATCCAGCACCACACTAGTGGTCCCACTGGCTTCATGTATTGTAAGGATAGTAAGAGTTTACAATATAAGAAAGCAAAGAGAGTGTTATCCCTCATTGTGTAGATAGAGAATTGAAGCACACAGAGATAAGAGATTAGCCAAGGGTCATGCAAAACTGATAACTCAGATCTCTTAAGCCAGGCCTTAAGGTCAAGCCCATCCTCCTGTCTAATGAGCTGTTACTGCAAAGCCTATCATTTGTTTTCTTAAAGTGGGCTGCCAAACCAGACAGTTAAAACATGCTTGGAAATTCAGTACTACAGAGCTGTTTGCTTAATAGTAGTTTTCCTAAAATACCAGCTACAGTATTATAAATAGAGCATAAAAATAGACCATTGAAAAGAATCCTTTGTTTGCTCAGCCCTAGTGTTGCATAGCACTCTATTCCTGTAATTTAAATGAATGGGATATTTGAACATGGCACTACAATGAATGAAGACTTCAAACAGAAAACAGGCTGTTCTTTTCAGCACTGGAGGTCAAGAATACATTGAGCTTTTAGTCTGAGTTTTGGTCTTAAAAATATGTGCTTCACATCTGCCTTTTATATCATCAGAAATGACCTACCTACATACAAAGGAAAACGTGATAGCCCTTTCATTAGCATAACTAAAACAACCTGAAAATAAAATATTCCCAGATTTTTAAGCCATTGCACTAGTCTTGAAATGCCAACATTTTTTACAAAATATATAAAGATGATCAAAGAACAGAAGTGTTGTGGTTTAAATCTGGTATTAATTTTTTTTTCTTACAACACATAGTTTCTAATAATTGAAAGAACAGCAATCAAAAAAACTAGATAGCTGAAACTTTCTAATCAGTGTGCATATGTAACCCCTTATCTCTAAGAACTTGAAACTTTACTTGAATTAATACTGGCAGAGTTTAGTATTAGCTACAAATTTCTCTCCATTTAAAAAAAAAAATTAAAATGTAACTTCAGACCCAGTTCTGGAGTTGTGTAAAACCATCATAAAAAGATGGTCACACTTATCTAAACCAATAAGCAGTCCTGCAGGTAAACCTTTGGAGTCTTGAAAAAAAAAGCAGTTTCCCAAAGAAGCATTCTACCACTTATATATATTTTAAAAATTATTTATTTAACTTGGCTTTGATATGTATCCTTGGCTAACTCTGTTTAGAACTACAGGTAAAGAGTGTGGGAAAGCAAGAGAGGTGAAGAGTAGCTATTTAACAATTATGTCTTATGAATGAGTATATGGATCTATTGTGGCACTGGATCTTTTATATATAACCACAATTATTCAATTAACTTTGATAAAATGGTAAAAAAATACATAATGTATCTATCAAAAAGCTATAAATGCATGTTCCTTCACAAAAGTAAAAATAAAATAGCACCCTAGGAATCCCGCTATCAATCTACAAAATTATTCTAAATATCTGTTCTTTAAAGGCATTCTGATACCATCAAATCTGCTTTGAAAAAAGGCATTAATTGTGAGCTTCAATAGATATGTTTATCAACTAGCTGGTTGATTGTATATTTTGTAAAAAGATAGTATGCATTTCAAATAATATCTTATTTGAAATAAATTTTGTACACACCTCAAAGTTTGTATTCTTCAGCTGTCAAAGGCAATGCATCTAAAGAAGATTGAGAATTTGACTATTTTCCCTGTGGATTCATATAAGAGTTAGTGTTTGAAAATTTTTTACTCAATTTCTGACACAAATAAATGATAGCTAATAATGGAAAAATTTTCCTGACATCTTCTGTCCTTCTAAAAATGCAAAATTCTGAATCAAGTCAGATTTGCATTTGACTTTGTTGAAACTGTTTCCATTTGATGTGCAAAACATAAGGCTCATGGTAAGAATGGCTTTGCTTGATAACAGTGTGATCACATCTATAAATTTGAATAATTTGGACACAGTGCTGCAACAGCCAAACCGACTGAGCTCCCTGTGCATGTATCAGTGTACATTTGAAGGCAGCTTGCACAAGTGCAAATTGCTGTCTAGTCAAAGTCAGAATTGATGTTTGCATGGATGCAGTCTAGCAAGACTTGATCCCCAGATAAAGACCTCAAATTCTGGAAGGCAAAATGTGAGTTTCTAAAACGTTGAATTAACTCCTTGTCTTGTACATAGTTG